GTTAGAAGACGAATTTTAGCCGTTATTTCACGTTTTAGAAAACTATTGTAATAAATTGTAATAGGAATTGATTACAATACTCTATGTTGACAGAGTTCACACAAGATTTTGGAAAAATATCCTATTTTATGAAAAATTCAACTGCAATTTTGAGGGGTGGGGATTTGACGTCATTTTAGGGGTGGGTTTGGCTTGTTGTGACAATGTGTGATGTAGGAAAGGGGGGGGGATAAAAATCGTCAAAAAAAAGCGTGACGTCATTTATGGATGGCCCCTTAGTAAGAAAGGTGGTGTAGAGTTTAGAAATAAAGAAACAGCCAAGAAAAATGTTAAATTCTTGCGTCATCTACCACAAGATTCATTAAATAGAGACCATCAAGTCGAGTTTCAATATCTATACCGTTTAGTTAAATTTAGACCTACTTCCCTATGAATGAGAAAGAAATGTGCTTCTGTTAACCCAATATTTTTTTAAAAAAAACTTCCAGAAAATATAAAAATATCGTTAAGTAGTGACTGTATTTAACTAGCGACAAAGGTAAAACAATTATATTTTCATTCAGCTGAAGATAACGATGATGATATCGCTTTGATAAAGATAAAGCCATACGAAGGCCACGGGATCCAGTTCGGTGACTACGTGCAGCCCGCCTGTCTGCCTGATGCTGACACAGAACTGGCACCTGATCACAAGATGATCATATCTGGTTGGGGCCACACAGATGTAACAGAACGTAGGTCATTCTAGTACTAGGTTAGGGTATAGATAGGGCCAGAGGCGTTGCAACGCGGAGGGGGGGGGGCGGTGGGTGCGGACGGCACATGTTGACACCATGAAATGCCGCACCTGATGATACCCGACCTAGCGACGCAACGGGATAGGGCTAGAGCTTTTTGCTACATTTTCATATTTTTAGAAAGTGATAACATCTTTCGGGTTTTTTAAATATAGTGCGAAATGAACTATTTCTTCTAAACATTAGATTTTAGACAGTAACTCTTTCAGTGATTTTACTTGACAAAATATCTACCTGAAAGATCGGTAGTATGAGGCCTAGAGGTAGAGCACTAGACTGCCAGATGCGTGGCAGCGGGGGGGGGGGGGTACATATGTCCACGGGCGTCTAAGGGCGCCAAAATAAGCTCATTTTAGTTACTATTTTGAATTATAAATATAAAAAAATATAAGGGGGAGGGCGCCAAATTGAAAGTTTGTCCCCGGGCGTCGGGAGGGGTCGCTACGCCTTTGTAGATTGCTAACCCGAAAGTTTCAAGTTCGAATCCGGGAAAGTTAAGATGGCTGGGCATAGTGCTGACCGCCTTATTCCTTCATAAACCGAATAAAAAATAAACATTAATTCTACTTCATCTTCCCAATTCATCCTTAGGTCTAAAGAGAAATTTGTACTTTTCAAAAAAAAAAAATTAGTCTCATACATGAGTTGAACTGTAATCGACACCGCTATAGTAACGTCTTATAGTATTTAAAAACTATACAAATTTAAATTAAAGAATATATATGTAAAATTAGAGAGTAGAATGAAGTTTGTCTTATCTTACTTCCTCAGGTGTGCCGAATATCTTACAAGAAATTAAGATCAAACTGAGCGAAGACAAACGGGCATGTTCACATCCCTCGTATAACCCTGACCTCATATTATGCTCTCCAGCAGGCAGGAGAAATACTTGTATAGGGGACAGTGGAGGGCCTTTAGTTGCCAAAATCAACGGTGAATTCATCTGTTTTTTTACTTCAGAAACTCTTATAAGTAATTGGACAGTACATTCAGTTAAAAGTGTATAAAACAAATATAAAAAACCTTTATAGTAACAAGTGTTTAAATGCACTGAAAATGAGGAAATAAAAGTAATTTGCTCTCTTTCATAAAAGCTTTTGTCGCTTAAGTATGTAAAAGATCTCATGATGGACCAAAGCTTTAACGAAAGAGTGGAAATAAGTTTTAATTTCTAATTTTTCTTTCCGGCTCTACGATTGTAAACATTCTCGTGAATCACAGCTCTCGTCTAGCTAGTTATTTCCCCTTCTGTTATTGAATGTAGTAAAATATCGAATGGTTTAAACTTGTTATCTCCCCTTAGTTTCGAAACCGTTCGATTAATTCTTAATGACTAATTAAACATTTAATTAAATTAAAAAAATTGATATACTTTTATTGTCATCGGAGGGGAACGTATCTTGAAAATTTGAACGAAATCGCTGCATTAGAAGTGGGTCAAAATTGAGTTACAAGATTTGCCACAGACAAACAAACAAACATTGCGAACTAAATAAAGCTTGTAAAAACATGTTTCAACAGAGAGGCAAATATTTTGAAAATACACAATTTGCATTTCTTGGAATGTGTTAATACACTCACGTAATAATTTGACTTGCATAGGTGTCTATCCATAAGTCTCGAGTTCAAATCCCGGTTCAAGTCAGTACACCGTACCAGAGTCCACCCAACTCTGATGGGTACCTAACTCACGTTGGGGAAAGCAAAAATCGCAGAAACAAGTGAACTTTACTTCACTTACCCTATAGACCGTCAGGTTTGAAAAGAGAACTTTACTTTTTTTAGGTGTTTACCAAGTGTTGGGGGTGACGGCGTTTGGAGACAAAATAGCCTGTGAGCCCCCTTATGCCAGTTACTTTACCAAGGTCCAGGCCTACTTGGACTGGATTAGTTCTACCATCAGTGACAACAGCGAGAGTGAGGAAGAGGAATTCCTGCCGCCCCGTAGACTGACGTATCACGTGACACCTGACCAGACCATAGGATTTAAAGACACTGTAGTTAAACAGACTTTGTCCATTTTAGTTCAAATCTGTAAACGTACATTTATTACGGACTAAACATTTCTGCATAAGTCCAATTTTTAAATCGTATTTTTATTGCATTTTTTTTTACCAAAACTGGATTCCAAATTAAATAATTTAACTATAGTAAATTAGAAAAACAAGTGTTTTATACACAACAATATTCTTATTTTGTGTTCTATCTTGGTTAATATTTTTTGTGAAGTTAATGAAATGGAAAATTATCTATTAGACAAGACAGCCAGTATGATTGTTTCGTGTTCAACAGTTTGTTGTCAATTTGCTTTATATATGTTCGTTTTGTTTTTGTTAGTCACGAGATTTTATTTCTCTTGCTCTCTCTCTCTCTCATATATATATATATATATATATATATATATATATATATATATATATATATATATATATATATATATATATATATATGCGGGCCGCACCGGGTGACACCATTTAGGGGGGCGACACGATGGAAAAAATAGCAAAATATATAGAGAAAAATTATAATTCCACTTAATTAGAGCTTAATTCGAGTGTTAAATAGTGTTTTAAGAGGTGGAAATCGAAAGTTTGAGGAGGGGTGGGGGGTTGCATGTCGACAATTGAAAGTTTGTCCCAGGGAAGGGTCGCTACGCCTCTGGGGGGTGACACCATTAAGTGCAGCACCGGATGACACCCGACAACGCTACGCCACTGTATATGTAAAATCTACGTTGCCAAATTGCGCGGGACACCACCAAGTACGCACACTAACTCTCCATCGCTCTTCAGGCATGCGCAACAGACCATATCGCCATCACCCCACCCCCCACCAGTCTGGTGAGCTGTGGTTCACGCCGAATGTTTACAATCGTAGAGCCGGGTCGAATTAGCGACGGCTACTAGGGGCAGATAATTTAGTTTTTGGAAGATTTGAAACTAAGCGGAGGTAACTAAGGGGAGGCTGCAAATATTATTAGTCGCAGCATTAGTAGAATCAAATTAACAAATTATGAATTACTGAAAAGTAAAAAATAAAAATACTAAATAGCGGCTTTTACTGCGCCGCGGGTCGGATCATTGTTATTAATTTAGCAAGCAGTCTCGGCTATGAAATAGATGAAAGTAAAGCACCTGTTTCTGTTACCTGTGTGTATGAAGTGGTTAATGTGATCAGCATTTTAAGCCCAGCCACCGTTAATCAACCTAAAGTGAGCCAGGTATTTATTAGAGCTGGGTTGACTCAGGGATGTCCTATAGACAATAGTCCGTTACCCTAACTCAAGACTTCCGGGTTAGCAATTGTTCTTTGAAATACATTTGCGAATAGATTCAACATTACATATCAGATCTATATTTTAAGACTTCACTATTAGTAAAGTATTTTCGTAAATAACTTTTAAACTTAAAAAAAAAGAAACTTCTGAATAATTTAATCAATCCAAAACATCGTTTATACTTAATATTGCTTTTTATTATGATTAATTATTTTACTGTATTCACAGAATACATGAAAGTAAACATAATAGTAAATAGATACTGAGAAAATGTACACATACAATAATGATTTAATACATTAAAATATTAAAAATTAAATAATTACAAGGAATTTTATATATATATATATATATATATATATATATATATATATATATATATATATATATATATATATATACATATATATATATATATATATATATATATATACATATATATATATATATACATATATATATATATATACATATATATATATATATATATATATATATATATATATATATATATATATATATATATATATATATATATATATATATATATATATATATATATATATATAGACAGGCAATAGCCTTTAATGTTTAGGACAGCAAATGATGATGCTATAGTAAGAGATAAATAATCATTGTAAATCAAAGTTACAGGGTTTGCTTATGGTCAGCCCATCCTGTATTGCACCTATATACAATTCAGAAGTAAATGTGAAAAATACTGTTTTAAGAATTTTTAAAAATAACAGATTCCATACAACATGATTTCATGGTTTCCAACTATCGCAATCTTTATTGCACAAACATGGGCACCCCGTGTTGAAAGAAACAATTATTGTTGTCGTTCTTGCCTGATTTTCATTGTTTAAAAAACACGCATAGTGCTTTTTGAGAATTAATTCGCATAATGAAATAAATGTTTTTTGTAATAATTAAAGTGAATCTTCCTGCAAGTTATAACATTATTGAAATACAAAACACTCTAAAACAAGCATGAAGACGACTGCAGAGAACGAGAAGATATTTTTCCCCGCAGCCGATTCCCCATCGCCACCCTCCACACTGGGACACGTGACCCCCTCCGTGGTGACTTCCTGTGTCGTGACCTTGACCTCGTCCTCGTCGAAGCCCTGGAACTCCCAGTCCCCGCACTTGGGGAAATTTTTCGGAACTTTCGGGAACTGTGTCTTGTTCCCCACTTGAAACACCAAAGACATTCCGGTCTCGGCGTGGAACTCGATGTGGCAGTGGAACAGCCAGATGCCTGGGATGGGTGGGGATGGGGTGGGGAGAGGGAAGAGAGAAAGGCACCATTTTAAAAAATAATGCTGGTAATATGCCTGGTGAGTTGAAGCTGGTAAAACAACATAATAAGTGAGTTACATTTTTTATCACCTTGGTTTACCAAAATATTAAATTGTATGGTGGTCTACTGAGAGATATTTAATAGGGTGACAGAAAAACTGCGAAACGGAAAACTGCGCACAAAAAAGTGGGCAAGGGCATTTTCTTTTTCTAAAAATCGAGTACTTATAGATTGACGTTAACAAAAAGTGACCACATGTACATTGTAGCATAGTAAAACATTTCCACGAAATATGACCAAATTAATGAATATCAGTATAATTAGTTTGTATTTGCGCATTTTATTTGTATGCGCAGTTTTCCTTTGCGCATTTTTCTATGTATGAGGTCATTCAAAATGTTGTCTGTTGATCGAGAACTTAATCAAATTTATGACACGGTATTTAAAATTTTGGATTCAGGCAATAACACGAAATAATAGAAACAGAGGGATAACTCTAGTTTCAATCAAAACACAAGTAATACCTGGGTTATCTGCCCTGAAGCGTAGGATCGTGTATCCTCCATCAGGAATGATAATCGTGTCTTTGAGCGGCGCATTTGAAGTTGTACGATTTATCAACCCATTTTTATCCAGTTCTTTGATGGTATCCATTGACACTGAATCGCCGAGCTGTGGATTAAATAACAGCAATGAAGTTTCATCTTCACTACCAGATGGAGTCAGATTTTATTATATACTTGGATAGTCAGAGATAGTAAAAAAACAAACACTGAATGCAAGTAAAAAAGAATGAGCGATTTTTGCTAAACAGTCAGCTAAAAATATGGAATAGTATCTCTTGCTGAAAATTATTTGTATTGGTTTTTTTTTCTTTGTTACAAATATGCATTTTTTTTAAATATTGGAAAAGACCTGTTGTTGAAACTTCAAATACAACTTTTTTTGTTTTTTTTTTATTTATGGGTTTTTAGTTATAGGTTTTTTTATATGTAAAAAAATGGAGCAGTTGGGAATCAGAGACTAGTGGACTGAAAGTGTGGTAGTTGGTTGTGGTTTGTTTTGGTAGTGGTTGTGGTAGTGTGCATCTGTTAGCATGTATGGGAAAGTATTGGCAGCAGTTGTGTAATAATGGTTGTATTGGTTGTGGTGGTTGGTTGCAGCTGTCGAAGTGTGCATCTGGTATATGGGAAAGGATTGGCAGCAGTTGTGGTACCGGTCTTGTTATTGGTTGTAGAAGCGGTTGTGGGAGTGTGTATCTTGTAGCATGTATGGGAAATGATTGGCAGTAGTTGTGCAATGGTTGTGGTATTGGCTAAGGTAGTTGGCTTTAGTTGTACTTATGGGAGTGGGCATGTGGTATATGGGAAAAGATTGCAGCAGTTCAGTAACCGTATGTGGTACAGGTCTTGTTAGTTGGTTGTAGTAGTGTTTGGATCAGCGTGCATCTAGTAGTTATATACGAAAATATTGGCATCCAAGAACTCACTCTGTCCATGGCGACAACCCTGAACCTATGTCCATGTAAGTGTAAGGGGTGATACGCATGCGCAGGTTTCCCCTCATCCACGATGACCAGCTCCACCAAATCTCCCAGGGCAACCTGGTACATGTGTACGCATGCGCACCATTCCTTGGTGCATTGTTTCTGGACAGTCTCCGCGTTACAGTACTCACTCTGAAGTAAACACAAATAGATAATTGCGTTTATCATTCTTTAATAAGTTACAACGAGTTGAACTTAAAACGTGTAGTATATAGTAATCTAATATACAGCAACAGCATACACGGAAACTTATATAAAACCGTACTGTTTTCTCTCTATCCAATTAAAGTTCCGCGTAAACCTGGACATTGAGTGCCAATACAATCGTGCAAAAGAGGTTCTAGAGAGCTATAAAATGTACAATCTGCTCATTAGCTTCGAGAAATACTTATTGTAATTGAGCTCTTCGTTTAATTCATTTTATAAAATGTCCGACTAATTAATTGTCATATTATTCATGTTCATAATATATTTACTTTATGTGTCGCGGTGATGAGTATTTGAAAGCACACTTTTGCAAAAAGTCTTGCCCGCGCCCAGAGTTAAAACTGTGTTCAATTATTTATGTATGAATTTAACGTAATGCTTTTGAAAATGAGAGTTAGAAATAACTTTTTTACAAGTTTATTTCTTATAAGAACTTTTAGCATGCATCTCAATTGAGGAGGGGGGGGGGGGGGGTCATTGCAATCTCGGGAACAAGTACTTCACTCTGACGAAATAGAAGAAAAAATATATTTAAAAATACAATCTTTAACCATTGCACACACTCCCCTGAAGTTTAGGTGTCGCGTCCGGAAGTTTCAAGTATCCCGTGGGAAAAATGTCTAAAACACTTATTCTTATCTCCATATAACAATGATAGCATTACCGCGTGCGTTTTGTACACAATTTTAATAACGAAATATGTATTGAAACAATTTCATAAAAACGTTTTAACAACAAGCTTATATGTAATAATGCACTAAAAAAATGAGAAAATAAATTATACACTACTATTTTAATAACTATAAAGAAAAAAAGACTTTAGTATCTATTGGATACCTTTACAAATATTTAGGAAGAGACCCACGCTTTTCTTTATAGTTATTTAAATAGTAGTGTATAATTTATTTTCTCCTTTTTAGTGCATTATTAAATAAAAGCTTGTTATTAAAACGTATTTTTATGAAATTTTATTTAGTACTTTACATGTTTTTATTTACCATAGAGTTACATGACTAAAAACCATTGAACGTGATGACGCGCTATTGAACGTGATGACCCGTGTGGAGTAGTTGGATAGAACTGCCTACTAATTTGGTCAAATTAGTAATTAATTCATAAAAAATTAATCAGGCGACCAATTAAGTCAAATTGAATGTCTTGATGCATTGTCTTCATGTCTTGACCCACGTACCAATTACGGACCGTATCTGTCAGTTAGAAGTGCCTGTAATTTCGCTCGGCCGTTTCGTTAAAGACAGACAGACTGACGAAAGACTGACGAGGAAGTGAGTTAAATAAAAGCTTGTAAAAATGAAAAGCTTTGTTTATGGCTAGATAAACACCGCCGTCGTTGAAGGAATTTTAAAATTACCTGCGGGACATCGTCAAACTGTGTCAGGGGCGGCGACTGCGGCATCTCAGATGTGATGAAGTTGATTTGGGGGGAATAAAATTTACTGCTAGCGTTGAACGGGTAAAACTGCAAGTGGTGGGCTCGCAGGTTATCGATGGGCACGAAATCGATAGCCAGGTAAAATTTCTTGTCAGGTATGGAGGTGAGGAGATCGATGTCTCCGTCGTCGTAAGATTTCATGTCTTTGATTTCGGCCGAGCCGTTGGGTGGGACGGGGAAAGCTGGGTTTAGATGCTGAGGATGAGACAGGAGGGGTTAATTAAATATCACGTGTGGTTGTTAGTTTTACTGTTTCTTTCAGTCATCTCTTAGGGGGGTACTCCACACTTGAACAAAATAGAGTTTATATAGAAAATATATACTTTTACCAGTGTTCGCTCCCCCCCCCCCCCCGAGTTTTAAGTATCCCCCCTCGGAGAAAAAAGTCTGAAAGAAACACTCGTTAGTTTACACTGAAGTAAAATAAACACTGAGATTGTACTTACTTAGTTTATGTAAGTCCCAAAATACAGAGGCGTAGTGACCCCTCCCAGCGCGAACTTTCCATATATTTGTTATATTTATAATTCAAAATAGCAGCTAAATGAGCTTATTTTGGCGCCCCTAGGGTCGGCGCCCGGTGACATAAATACCCCCACCCCCACTCGCCCATCGCTACGCCTCTGTCAAAATGAGCCGAAATTGTTCAGCAGAATGTAAACTTGTGTATAAGAGAGTTTGACATCAATTGCAGTTTGTGACATTAATGTTTAACAGATATCCAGCAATATCTTGCATACAAAATGTAAAGTAACCCTTTGAACCTGACGGTACGTGGGGTAGGTGACCTCTTAATATTGTGGAAGGCACTACATGCCCAGACGCCTCTACTTTATTTAACGTGAGTCAGGTACTCATCAGAGCTGGATGGACTCAGGGACGTTTTACTCACACAAACCCGGAATTTGAACTCTAGACTTTTGGATTAAAAGTAGTTTGCTAATATCTAATATCTGCCTTCAGCGCTCAATAAACATTGATAGAGTATGCTAGATACAAAATAGAGGTTCTCTGCCAAAACGCTCGGCATAATTCGGAATGATTCGGTAAAGCTCGGTAGAAACAACTCACAATGCCGTCACGTATCCCATTCTCCCATTGTGTCGGTTCTGGCGGAAGTTCATTTGGTGCGCCGTCGTATTTCAAGATGGCTGTTTGCCCAGCTTTGAAGTTGGCACAGTTGTTGTAGCCACGGGTTCGGATCCAGTACTGTCTGTGTGGAATACAGGGAGAAACAAATGCACATGATGAGGACTGTATATGGCAATACATGCATCGTACTTAGCCAGGGGTCGGCAACCTGTGGTTCGCGAGCCGCAAGCTGACTCTTCAGACTCAAAAGGTTGCCGACCCCTGTACTAAGCCATTAGGGCGTTCTCTTTAAATCTCTACTTGATTTAGATAAACTCGAAGAATAGGTTGTACGCTGATGATATAACGACAATGCTTTCAACAAGACTTCGTAATTAAATTCACATGATGGTATACTAAGCTATATCTTACTATACACACGTGTAAATAACTAACCCATAAGTAGATAACTAACCCATCTGTAAATAACTAACCCATTTGTAGATAACTAACCCACCTGTAGATAACTAACCCACCTGTAGATAACTAACCCATATGTAGATATCTAACCCATCTGTAGATAACTAACCCATCTGTAGATAACTAACCCATCGGTAGAAAACTAACCAATCTGTAGATAACTAACCCAAACATTAACTTACCTGAGAGCCGAGGTCTTGTCAGCGAAGAGAATAAAATCAAAACGCTCTCCTCCGTTGATGGTGATGGAGTCAGTGATGAAGGGCTTGAGGTAGTTCCCATCACTGGCAATAACGTTCATTGTGTGGTCATCGATAGAAAACTGAACACAAAGCATTATAATCAGTTCAAGCATTATGTTTTCTTATGATATTAAAATATACTTCTATTGTATATCAGTGTTTAATATATAGGTATACTATACGTGATATCATTAACTAAAACAGGATTTTGTCACAATCCAACGAATCCATGTTTTATATTAAAATAAGATGGAAGTTTTAGAAGACATCAAAGTTTACTTTTCAAAAAACCTGTAATGATTTAATTATGGACGGGTAAAAAATACATAACGTTTTATAACGGATTTATAATTTTGGAGACAGCCATTTTAATTTATCATATCTATTAACACTAGTAAACTAGTGTGGCTCTATGTATTTAACATTGCTTTTCTGTGCTGGACTCTGTTACGTCCCCCCCCCCCCTTCCACCATGGGAATGACATGTTATTTACCCGTACCGCATGCGCAACAACTAAAACCTCGGACGCACATAGTAAACTGCTTAAAAGAAACAGCCTGCAGTTGCGCTTGCGTACAAAGCTTAATTCCCTCGAACAAAGTGGAATCCAGAGGAGTAGCGAGGGGAGGGGGGGGGGCGGACAAAATGGGTTGGAATAATAAATTGAAAGGTAGAGGGGGTGCAAATCGAAAGTTTGAGGGGGAGGGGGTGCAAATCAAAATCTAGGGGGGGGGGGTGCAAATCGAAAGTTTGTCCCCGGGCGTCAGGGAGGGTCGCTACGCCTCTGGTGGAATCTCTGCCAAAGACTAAGCTTATTGTTTTTCTTTTGTCTTCTAACGATACTCACCTGAATGGGGCAGTTGGCGATTCCAGCGCTGATCAAACGGAATCGATACTTTTTACCAGGTGTGACGGTGAAGCTTGACCTTGGGGTAAAGGTCGTCTCGTTGGTCGTTTTGTTAAGGTATCCCTGATACTCGCCCCGCCCTGCGGAAGTGACGTCATTAAATATTTAGTCCGATGTTTTAAAAAAAAAACGCACAAAATGTGTACTAAAGAAGACAGAGAGTAATAGAACTACATCGACAATTCAAAAGACGAAAATCTGCCGAGCTTCAATTTTTTTTTAATTAAAAAAGGCCAATTTTTTTTTGTCTTTTGCGTGTGTGTATGAGTGTGTTTGTAGGTATTTGTGGTTGGGAGTGTTGATATAAAAAGTAAAAAAAAAACAAAATTCCGTTTTCAAACCTGACTACCCATGGGGCAAACGAAGTAGAGCTCACCTGTTTCTGTAACCTCGGTATTTGAAGTGATAGTGTGGTCAGCACTATGTCCAGCCGCCTTTACTTTCCCTTTCTGAGTACCCATCAGAGCTGAGTGAACTCAGGACCGTTCTACTGACTTGAATTCGTATTTGAACAGTGTTGGTATAGAATTATATATAATATAATTAGTTTATTTTTTAATGGAGAAATTAGGACTAACCATTGATAAACATTTGTTTAGGCTTGTTGTCGTAATCAAAATGGACGTATTTAGCCAAGCGGTTGGTCATCATGTCTACGGTCCAGTCGTTGATGAGAATGACGTGTTCAGATAGATCAAAGTCGTAGAGTAGGTGATACGGTTCGTTGACCTCAGGGAGGCGGACAATCAGGGGACCGAACAGCCCGTCCGCGCGCTGAGCCCCCGCATGGCCGTGCCAGAAGTGGGTCCCACTTGTTTCGACCTTGAACCTGGGGTCAGATGATTTAGGGGATGAAAAGGTGGACATTTGTCTAAGAGGCAAGCAGACGTTTGGAAGCAAGAGCGAAGAAGGAGCTGGCGTAACTAAAGTCGCTAGACCCGTGTGTGTTAAACGCCGATCACATTTTTAACAAACCGTATGTGCAGATAATAAAGGGATATGATTAAAATTATATGTGTGGGTGAATTTCTTTTTATATATAACAATAGTTAGACGTTGGTTTCAGTACGTCAATAGATGCCTCAAAAAATGGCTGGTTCTAGCGGAAAAAAAGGTACTCTTGCGAAATGGAGAGAAACTACCGCTTTGATCTGCGGCGATGTTTTCGGCCTTTTGTCTTGTCGGCCTTTTGGATGTTGGCCTTTTGACCTACACCCCCTGCGCAGAACTAGTGAATTTCAAATTTTTTCCGAAAAATCTTTTTCCGAGTAGTCACTTCGAAAAAAAATTGCCTAACAGCCAACTTGGTCCTGGGCTAATTTATCCAACTTCCCTCAGTGGTTGCTTTTATTTCATGGTAACAGAGTTCCAGTAACCTGCAACTGATTTAATTAAAACCCAAACCGACACCCCGACAGAGATATCACAGCAATTACATGCCAGTAACACTGCTTACATATCTGTAACAACGCTTACATACCTGTAAGTAAACTTGGCGTTGAAAGGTATCGGACACTGGGTGACCATGCTGACCCCGTCCATGTAGGGGGTCCCGTGTTGCAGGATGCCGTGCCAGTGGATGCTCGTGCCCTCGGAAGATTCCAGACGGTTGTAGACGGTCACCTGTATTGTGTCATTCTGACACACCTGTGGGGTGGGGGTTTAACATGAATTATGTCCCATTTTTCTATGTTAATAATGTAAACAAGTTTCGTTTTTATAAGGTTTTATACAGCGGATTTGGCGGACGATGAAGGCGTGTGGTGGAAGAGTGGATGGGCGTTGTGGCGGGTAGGGTAGGCGTGGTCGAGAAAATGTATAGGCGTTTGTCAAGAAATGACTGGGCGTGGTGGAGAATGGAGAGGGCGTGGTCGAGATATGAATGGGCGTCGTCGAGAATTGAGTGGGCGTGGCAGAAAAATAAGTGGGCGTAGTAAAGTGAAAAGGGGGGGGGGCGTGGTGAAAAAAAATTAGAGCTTTATTGAGTGATGTAATGGCGTGTTCAAATCAACAACTCCCTAACCCCTCCATAAAATATATTTTAGGGTCATTAAGGTTTCAGAACCTGAATTTTTTTTATCTCCCTTATCTAAACGGATCTTCCCTTATGACTTTCGACGAATCCTACATTCCTCTTCATCTGCGCAATCGGCATTATCAACCGGGAACTTAGAATCTATGACTGAATGATACCCTTACCTCAATAGCGGGACCAGGTAACATCCGGTTCACGACCTTGATCCCCCTCGCCCAGCCGTCCCCAGCGATACAGTGGGGCAGGTAGCAGTGGCTCTGGTTGTAGGGACAGCTGTAGCAGGCCTTGGACATGACGTAAAAGTTCTCAACGGTCCACTCGTAATGACACACATAGGGCTGACTGCTGGCGTCACATTTTCTTCTACACGGGTGGTTGGTGTAGTCTACACGAATGGAAGGAATGATGTTGGTAATAACGATATGAATGCTGCTGTACTCAGAAATTTACAAGCACAGCTGATAAGCATTATGGGCTCTAAGTGTCAAAGCTCTATGTATTTTTTATAGCATTTGTTAACTATAACTATGTCCCTGATGGTGTAGTCTACAGAGATGAAATGAGTGATGTCAATAGAAAAAACGACATGTTGCTATGTTTAGTAAAGAAAAAGTAAAATAGCCTTGCAGGCTGATGAAGTAATGCTAAGCACAACATCGAAAGCGATAATTAAATACGTTGTATTAAATAAAATGGAACTTCCGCATTCCATAATTTGCCATCTACTGATAGGATACTGTTACGGCTGTTACAGCCGATACAAAGCATGAACAATTATATCAAATGTGATTAGAATTTTTTTTAAATCATTTATTTTTGCATTATTCTTCTAACATCGACTACATTGATACACATTGTGTCGTTTAAATTAAAACAAATTGTGGGTGTTCTTGTTGAGCAGAATTTTGTACAATTTATCTTAAATAACAAACCGTTTTTTTTATTATTCTTAAACTTAATCATATAAACTTTTAACTTATCTCTATTGAAAAAGAAAGTTTAAGACATAGGGCTTACACATGTAAGTAAATTTAGCGTTGAAAGCGATTTTTATTTTATACTCGAGTGGCTACATAGTAATAGAAGGAAACAACTTGCTTTAGCATGGGTTCAAAATCAACGTACAGAGCGTAGTTGATAAAAGTTATCATATGAGCGTGTAAGAAAACTATCAACACATACCATTATATCTATCAACACCTACCATTAAAGGTAACAACACCCACCATTAAAGCTATCAACACCTACCGTTAAAGCTATCAACACCTACCATTAGATATATCAACACCTAACAATAGAGCTACCAAAATCTACCAGTAAATCTATCGACACTTACCATTAAAGCTATAATCCCAGCGATTATCAGATGATACGAGGTAAAACATACAGATTAGAAGACAAGCCTTGGTCAACATGCTGGAATATTAAAAGAATAAATCATTTTAAATATACAACAACATTAAACAAGTAATATTTGAAAAAACACAATAAATGAAATACAAATGCATTTATCTCTGTTTCAATTAAAATCGTGCATTTTAAATACAAATAGATAATTATTTTAAATCTATTATGTGTTTTTAAAAAATACACATTACAGTAATAAAACAATTTTTAATACACTATAGGCCTACTTTAAAAAAAATAGAGAAAATCGAAGTTTTAATAACGCATACAGAAACTAAAATATAACTTGAAAATCTTACTTTGTATGTTTTTTCAAAAAAATAAATTCAGTTAATTTCTCAACTTAAGATGTGTGTGATTATTTTTTTTTATTATTGGAGATCATTTATATAGCAGATTTAGATATGACGAAAGCATTCATAAAATACATTTTCCGCCCTAACTGGACTAAAAATAGACCTCTTCCTAGTGGGGTATTTTCACTCAAGTTAACTGGACCGATAACCACAAGAACGGGACATAGCCAGGTCCGCGGAATGGGTGGGTAGAGAGGGGGAACTTGGGGGGGGGGGCGAAAAATACCATGACCTAGTTCTAGGTTTTTTTTTATACTTTTCCTGGTATTCGTGATTGAAAAAAGCATTATTTTAGTTATTGAGCGGGAAAAAGAAAATTCCACTCTTGTAAAACACTGATTTATTTATCATGTCACCAATAGAAAAAAAACTACTTTTTTTTTATATTTAAGACTTATTTTACGAATAATTTATTTAAGCGTTTATGCAAATATGTTTTTATACCCCACAGATTTTAGGGTGGAGTCAATTTTCTTGGCCCACTTGTTTTGACTTTGCTATAAAATTTGATAAAATCACACAACTTTTATGACTTAGGGGCGAATCCGTTTTGTTGTTATAACTAGGTTGTAGCATCTACCCTAATGTGTATATTGCCAGCCAATGCAGAGCTCATCTTGTCTTCTGGATGTGTGGGGAAACGTTACTGCCATTGCACTAAAGGTCCATGACAGTTCTTCCTAGATGGGCTACGTATGTTGTCTTAAAGCGGATGACGTCTATCTGTGGCATCATTCTTCATCAAATCAAAGAGATATTATCTAAACCTACACATTTATCTTTAAATCTACATCCACATCTACATCTACATCTACATCTACATCTACATCTACATCTACATCTACATCTACATCTACATCTACATCTACATCTACATCTACATCTACATCTACATCTACATCTACATCTACATCTACATCTACATCTACATCTACATCTACATCTACATCTACATCTACATCTACATCTACATCTACATCTACATCTATATCTATATCTATATCTATAATCTATATCTATATAGTTTTATAAGAGGAATCTATTTAACTCTCTTAAGGCCTACCCCATTCTCTAAGCTACGCTACTTTTCCAGGCAACTTATAATTGCCCACACATAATTTCGAATGCATATTTAAAAAAAAAATCATTGAAAACCTGAATACCTATTAGCTATGCCAGCATTTTAGTTTGAGGTGTGGCATAAAACGAGTGCGCGAAAGTTAAGTTTATAATTTACTTTTTTTTAAAATGTAGGATTATGTTAGGCCTTTGAACTGAATGGCTAAGTGTAGATCTATGAAGCACTGGAAATTCCCGATACAACTGATAAGAGTTGTCTGTCGTGTTGCTATATTTAGCTGTCGTGTATACTGACTAGAGTGCTTCTTCCTGATTCCCGATCATTTGTCAGTATACTAGATTTATTTCCCCTTATTATTATTTTTTACTTTCTAGTATATACGTAGTATAGAGAAAGTATTGTAATCGTGCAAAAAAAAAAATCGAGATTTTTACAAATCTCGACGTTTTACACCTCACTGATACGGAAAAACATAATTTTGCAATCTTGTCCGTATGTCTGTGTATGTGTGTGTCTGTGTGTCTGTGTGTCCGTGTGTAAACACGATAACTTGAGTACCGTTACAGCTAGGCTGGTGAAATTTCATATATAAGTATTTTATCAAAATCGTAGATCCGTATCAACTTTTGAGCGATTTCCGATAACCGGAAGTGGTACTTTTTCTACTTTGAATATTTCAAAAGCCTATAACTTGAGTACTATTTCAGATAGATAAATGAAATTTGATATGTAAGTAAAAGAGCTATTTCTCTACCTTCTGTTAAATTTTGAGTAATTTCCGTTGACCGGAAGTAGTAATTTACGCTACTTCCGATTTCTCAAAAAACTAATGTAAATTTTTAAAGTACTAATAATATTGCGCACTATTACGCACATTTGGTTTTGGTGCTAGCTTGGTGCGCATTTTTTTTCTACTAGATTTTATTCTATTTTTAAAAGTTTAAGTAAACAAAAATCATGTCTATATTCCGAGTTGACATCCCACGTAGTGTTATATTAGAATATTCGAGAAAGTTTAGGGGAGATCACTCCCGGTTTATTATATGAGGCTATTGAAAAAACAACACTTTACTTAGATGAAGAGAAATATCGAACACTTGAAATATAGCTATTTTTTCATTCATCATTGCAGAGTTACAGTGTAAGAGACGTTTTATTATGCATTGCCATAGATGTTGTCAGTAACAACGGCTTGTTAGCTCCTGTTACTTTTAAGTTTAGGATTTTTAGTAAGGGACTACGCAATTGAAGGGAAAGCACCGAAAATCTTATCCGAGTTAGATCATAAGGTTGTGTACCTTGCACTACATTAGGAATCCGAGGTAAAGGAAAACAGTTCAACCGTGAAGTTTGTTAAAAGCATTTCTTATAAATCGTGTTGCCGGGAATAAAAGGCATCTACCAGTGACAGATCAGATCGCTATCAGCTTTGTGTTTCAAGGAAACTTCCTAAATACAGATTTGAGGTTGTGGTTGTTATAAATATAATAAAAATTGAAAATCCAGTTTCTGTGTTTCAGTAATGTTTAAATTGCTGCATGCAAATCAAATCCTGTAGGTCTATGTATGGGGAAATTTGATGTAAGATACCATCTGATGTATCAGATTACGGCATTTTATTTCTAGCAATATTATACACACGTACACACACACAAGAGCACACCCATATATATATATATATATATATATATATATATATATATATATATATATATATATATGCACAAACTATATTCCAATCATAGACATGTACACATTTATAGACACACAACCACACATGCATACACCACGCATACACACATTATACAGGTTTGTATATATATATATATATATATATATATATATATATATATATATATATATATATATATATATATATATATATATATAAGCATTGATTTTAAACGACTAGTATAATGGAGTTGAGTGTTCAAAACAGAGATTTGAAATTGGATAAAGCTACCCTTATAATAATGCTAATTGAAAGGTTTCGTTTGGCGATTAACTTAATAACTATTGATTAATCTACAACTGACGAATATCACCATTTCCCAGGAATTCAGTTATCAATATTTTAATTTTAGAAAATAAAATCCCAGCAATCTATATCAACTTATGGCTCAGGGTGTAAACCACCAGGAAGTGACGTCATGTCGTGGGAGGTGGGCGTGGTCTGTAGATAAGTAGACCTTTGGAATACCCGGCCTGGTGCGTCAAGCTAATGAAGTCAGCACTTCCCTGTGTACTTGACCCGTGTCGGGATGCCGGATGGAATTCTTTCATTAAAACATTCCGATGTAATTTTCTTCAATGATTTTTTTGCGCTACGGTTTTCTATTTTATTCAATAAATCCGTACCTTAATTACTTCTTGTATCGATGTCGTTACTAATACATGTTACTAAGACTAAATCTAACCATAAATCTATCCATAAGCGTATCGTCGTTCCAAAAATATTCCACTGTACTGTCTTATCCGGGAAAATAATTTTCCTATTGGATGAAAAAGAAACAAAAATGTTAGATATCTATCCTGTTTAGTTACAATTTAAGAAAGATTTGTTTTCGCTTATATATATATATATATATATATATATATATATATATATATATATATATATATATATATATATATATATATATATATATATATATATATAAGAGGACAACGTGGTAGAGCTTATCACTGCTAATCAGAGAAGCTGCGGTTCGGATCCCGGGTACCAGACCTGTAGGACGTCAGTGAGTCAGTTCAGGTTTGATGGGCAGCTGTTAGGGAGGGCGACTGGGCTTAGTGTTGGCCACACTATTCCCTCGTATCCCGAGGTAATTGAAACAGATACACTCTACTCCATCTGCCCCAGGTGTCTTGGGCACGAATGGGAATACATGGTGATATAATATATAGAAATCCATTTTCAGTAATTTAGTTGAACTATCATGGATACTTACAATCAGTGTTTCTTCCAGACATTTTTCTCCGGGGGGAGGGGGGGGGGGGGCACTTGAAATTTTCGGGGGGGGGGGGGGGGTGGTAGACTTTCTTCGGGGGGGGGGACACACTGTTAAAAGTATATATTTTCTATATAAATTATATAAATTTCATTTCGTTCGGGGGGGGGGGGGGCGAAAAGATGCGTGGAAGAAACTCTGCTTACAATGGATTCTATTATATTACTTTTATCTGGTTTAGTGTGTGGGGTGCCCAAGTATCTGAAAATAACATACTAACATCTCTTGGTTTTTTAAATTTAAAAAAAATAAATTAGTTAATAATTATCATTTTAACTTCGCATGTTTCAGTTTATGTGTAACAACAATACACCACTACCTAAAAAATACTGTTTAACATTGAATAGTAAACACAAAATTATAGAATGTTTTTTTTTATTTGTTGCATTGTTTATCGGTGTGTCTTCTGAAAGTAGATTTGTCTCGATGGGTGTGTGATAGGCGTAGACAGGCACTCACCTTGAATGCACGGGTCAAAAAGAAAAGAGAGTGCGGGGGGGGGGGGGGATGGGTCGAAATGAAAGGGAAATGAAAT